CCCCCCCCCCCTCCGAGAGGTATTCGGAACACGATCCCACAAACTGCTACAGCTGTTAGGTTTACCACTACAAAAGCACCAACACGACCCCTATATATGCAGCATCCAACTATCTGGTGTTGATACATGTCTGGGAACGCGCCGCTAGAGGCAAATACGTGCTACATGGACGCCTGCACGGGGAGCGGATGATGACAGCAACAGCATTGTCAGACATGTTTGTAGCGGCAGCACATATGCGTATCATAGTAGACTAGACGCCGGTCGAACCCTTTCTCGCGTTGGGTGCACCGAAGCGGGGCTCTTCGCCAGGCTGAGAGAGGCAAGGCCGCAGAGTAGCTGGGGTGACGAAAACTAAAAAGAAGAGCATTGCGCATGTGGACTTTTTATGCATAGGGTAGGTCGGTACCCATGCCCAACTGAGGTATATTCATTACCAGGACTCCGTTAAGGTTAAAGTTTCTACTATCGAGGGAGGGCGTGCTGTAGTCATCACTGATGTAAAGGAGTAGGGTTCGGATATTGCGGCGGGTCCTCGTATCCACTCCAAGCGATCGCCCCTTTTCCTTTTTCGGATGACGACATGACATGACATGACGTGACAGGCATGCGTGTTCCTCGAGGATGCCAGACCGCCGAACGACCGCGCCATGGAGGTGCCCCGCGAGATGAGGCTATCCCTTCTTCGCTGGGACCGCGCTGAGGAGGGGTGCCAGCAGGAGCCGCCGGAGGGTAGGGGCGCCGATACTTATGAGCCGCGACCGCTTGATGCCCCGGAGGGGGGTGGGCGGGGGTCGCCGCCTCCGCCGGACGAGGGAGGAGTCGGCGACGAGGAGGAAGGGCGATGGGGGGTAGAAGCGGCTGCTACGATGGACGTGCCATCTGAGGATGACCTGTGAGAGAGAATGGAGGCTTATTTGGAGAGGGGGGGGCGTTTTTGTCGTGTGTATCGTGGTGGTTTGTTCAGAGGGAAGCGTTGTTGAGGTGTCCTGTGGAGAGTTTTTTAGATACTCGTGGGTGGTTTGTTTGAAGCGTTTTTTTGTGTGTGTGTGTGTGTGCTGTGGAGAGTGTGGACTTTCGAGGCGACATCGGTTGTGATGGGATGGCCAACCCTTCGTTGTTCGGGTAGCACGGTTTGCCACACAGCCTTGGGGGATGTTTGGACATTTGTCTCCCGTGCGTGCGTGCACGAGCAGCAGTATTTTTTTGCCGTCGAGCAAGGGTGCTCTTAAGAGCACGCTTCAACACGCGTGTGTGCAGCAGGAAGAAAAAACGTGTTCCTGAATAGTAAGCTGAACAACATGTGTGTGTGCTGAACGAGTCATGTACTTATAGCGCGCCTTTCGTGGCCGCTGGTAGCACCGTCGGGCAAGAGCTCGCGAGCAAACTGAAAGTGCTACGAGAAGCAATCCCTCTCCGTCTTCTTTCTGAATTGCTTTGTCGCATGCAGTCTTCATCAAACCAGCTCCCTGGCGCTTAGAAGCCGAAATCATCCCATGATTATGTGCTCGAGTGCTGACTAGTTTACGATTTGATGTCGGCTTCCACGAAATGTAGTGGTGGGTGGGTTCGAAACCCAGACTGAACATTTGAGGCCCGCGCATGAAACGAACGCCCCCTGTCAGGTTTCCGGGAGACCCGGAACAGAAGATGCGGGAGGAGATGTGGATGCTGTGCAACCTCGATGAGCACCTCCTATTGAGCCAGTTCCACGTACCGCCTCCGCCAGCGCAGCAGCAGCGGCTCCCGCCCCCCGCCACCGCGGCTATGGAAGGAAACTATGGCGGCGGCGGCCTCGTATCGAGCAACCCCTGCCTTCGGCAGCCCAACGGGATGCCGTACACCGCCGCCGCCAACACCCGGGCCGGCGGCGCCTCCCCGGCGAAGGGGGTCGCCGCTAATAGCGCCGCTGCTGCTGGTTCCGGAGTAGGAGGGAGCGATGGCTGGCGGGGGGGGGGACGGGCAGAGAGGAACCACAGCAGCAGCAGCAGCAACGGCATACGGAACGATGACGCCGCTGCCGCCGACGCGCGGGGGAGAAGGGGCGCCGCCGCGCCGCCGCCCATCCGGCAGCCGGTGATGCGCAGCCGGCGGGAGGAGCGCGTCACCTTTCACGCGCGGCCCACCTGCCACGACTTCTTGCGGGGGTGGGAAGGCGGCCGCGCGAGGTCGGCGGGAGACGGCGACTCAAGCCCCGGCGGCGGCGGCGGCGACAGGCTGCGCCCGCAAGGCGGGGGGGCGGGAGGAGCCTCTCCTCCTCCTTCCTCCGTCTCCGGCGACCGCGGGGCGCCAAGCCGATACTCGCGGGGCCAGCCCCAGGACAGCGGCGGCACCAGCAGAGGGGGCAGCGGTAAGAACGGCGGTGGAGGCGTTGTTGAAGGACCGGGGACGACGGCGAGCGCGAGGCCAGCGAGAGGCGACGAGCACGGTGACGGTGAGCGGAGCGGCGGCGTCGGCGGCCGAAAGCGCCGCACCCCCGTCGACCGCGTCGTGGCGGTGGGCTTCAAGTCCGGGGAGTGCGCGGTCCTGGACGCGACCACCGCCAACGCGCCGTCGTTCCTGTCGGTGCTCAACAAAGGCGGCGCGCACTGCGAGGGCCGCGTGACGGCCGTGCGCTTCGTGCCCGGGGCCGGGAAGCGGCTGTTCGTCGCCGCCTTCTCCACCGGGGACGCCTACACGTTCGACATCGGCCTCGAAAAGGAGGCCCCGATGGGCACGGCAGCCGAGAAAGTCGCCGCCGCGGCAGCCACGGCATCCTCTACCGGGGCTTCCAACGGCGGCGGCGGGGCGGCGGCGGCGGGAGGTGGGCTCGCGCCCGCAAAGAAACGAGGGTCGGGTGGGAAGGGGTCATCGTCGTCGTCCGGCGGCGTTTGGGGGAGCGTGATCGGGGGAAGGTCCACCCAGGACAGCATCGGCAGCAGTAGCGGCGGGGGAAGCTGGGGCCGTAGCCGGAGCAACCACGGAGCGTCGGCGACGTCGACGTCGTCATCGAGCGGCGGCGGCGGCGGCGGGTCTTCGGCGGGGGCGGCGCGGTCCTTACCGACCTCGTTCACCGGCGGCGGCGGCAGCGGCGGAGGAAAGAACGGTCGCAGCGGTAGTAGCAGCGGCAGCGCTAGCGGGGGCGGAGCTACCGGTAACGGGTCGCCGCCGCCGTCGGACCGGGGAGCCGATTTCATGGTGGAGAGAAACGGGGTGGCGGGGGCGAACCCGGTCTCGATGTGGAGGGTCTCCTCGGACGGGCGGGAGATCACAGCGATGGTGTTCGCGCCGCTCCAGCAGGCGGACGGTAGGCGATTGGTCGCCTTGGCGGCGCTTGATGGGGTGAGTGAGTTGCCCGCCTTGGGTTCAGTCTGTCTGAGAGTCCGGGGAAGCACGCTTGTGATGTGGTGTGCCGAGCACAAGACCATTGATTGGGCTGCGGGGTGGTTAGAGTCAGGGGAATCACGCCGTTGTTGGAAGGGTGTGTCGAGCACGAGGATTGATTGGGCTGCGGCTTAGTTAAAGAGTTCGCTGAAGCGAACCATATTCTTTGTGGTCGTTCTTGTGCCCCGTGTCTGTAACCAGCTACAAGAGGCTGGTGCTGTCATGGCGTCTTTGACGGGTTTGGCAGATAGATAACGAACGTACCACGTGTGTGTTCATCGCGCGTACTGCTGGCTTCGAGACTGCCCATCAGGTAGGTGTGACGTCAGACGCCACCACCTTTGCAGAGCGTCGAAGTGAAGCAGCGAGTCATGCCGCGTCTGTCCACCCCTTGCTTGGCTTGTTACACCGCCGCCATTCGGTATCGTGGCGATCGGTTGCTCGTCTACCCAAGGCGAAGTGAAGCATTCAGTCGTTGTGTTTACGTTGAAAGAAGGAATAGAGTTCAAGGAGCTCCTGCATTTGGACGAAACGATGTAGGGACAGCCAAGCTGAAGGTCTCCGTGTCCTGTCCACCCCTCTCTTTGTGTGTTGCGCCGCCGTGTTTCATTCGATATCGTTGCAATCGGTCCCTTGCCCCTCGCGCGCTGTGTCGTGTACGTGCCTGGCAGGTGGTGCGCGTCGTGGACTACGATGAGCAGGCTCTGGTGGCCGGCTTCAAGTCTTGGTTCGGGGGTATCCTGTGCCTGGACTGGAGCCCGGATATGCGGTACATCGTCACCGGTGGCGAGGTGAGAGAAATAATTTCTCGCCGTTTTTTTCGGGAAGTGTGGTACGGTGCATATCTGCGTTCCTCCTTGTGGTTGGGCTGGGTTTTCTGCTGCCGCCGCAGGCGTAGGCGACAATACGTGGGGTATGGTTTGGGCGAGAGAACCCTCGCCTTTTCATGTGCGTCTTGGCTTCTGACAGCATGCTCGCTGAATTGAATGTCATCGCGTAGTAGTACCACCAAATCCACCCAATGTCGCTCCAAGGACGAATGCTGAGTACGATGCTGCGTGCTTCTTTGTTGTATTACATCCCGCAGCCCTTCCTTGTCCCGGGCAAGTTGCTAGTAGCGTTTCCACCCCACCGATTGACACCGCGTTCCGCGGAAGAAGAAAACCGGTACCGTTCTTTACGCTGGTCTTGCTGCTGCTTCCTCTCGGCAAACTCCAAGCTGTGGGAATCCAGAAACCTTGAAGAATGTACCCCCTTTCGACTGTGGTTATATTTAGAACGGATAGTCTTTCTGTGAGTGCATGCATATGTATGTTTTCTAAAAAAACAAATGTTTACCCATGGTATGTAGAATATACAATTCTGAGAACCTTGAGCGAAAATGAATACATGAAAACGCATGTGTACATGTCCATGGTACGCAGGATGACGCCGTTACTCTCTGGTGCGTGGAGACCCGCACGTGCGTGCTGAGGGGCGAGGGGCACGGGTCCTGGGTGACGGGGGTCGCTTTCGACTACTGGACCAGCAGAAGGCCGTACTACCGCTTCACATCTGTGGGGGAGGACGCCCGGCTCTGCATGTGAGAGGCTCAGAGAGAGAGAGAGGAGAGGCATTCTTCTTTCTTGTGTGGTACCCACTCTGTTGAAAAATGTAGGGGTCATCCGGATGCAGGCGTGTTTACCGGACGGAGTGGTTTATGCTAAACGAGCGGTCGTGCCGTTAGCTCTCCCGAGGCGGAGGAAGCCGGAGTTGCTATAGGTACATTAGTCGAGAGAAAGAACAACTGGCGGGTGTGTTGGCAGGTGTCTACTCATGTTGAGGGAGCGAGAGAGGGTTGCGTGTGTATCATGCTTGTACTCGGGGGTAACTTGGCTGACTTGTGGACAGGGCTTCTTTTCCCTTGACCTTTGGTGTGCAGACCACGCTCTCCCTATCTCTGGCATGCAGACGCTCTGGTGCTATCAGATCGTGTACATAGCTTTTGCATTCTTTTCACGCGGACGGCGTTTGTTGTCGGAGTGTTCTAAGGGAGGGGAGCTCTTGCACCTGACTCCGTTCACCGACGGACACACCTTCAAAGCAACAATAAACACCACAGCATGGCCTTTGCTTCCCCCCGAATCCGAAGCTCCCCCCCCCCCC